ATGAAAGTAAGAGAGTATAAAGTCTTTAAGATAAAAAGAAATCAAATACTCTATTTAGCCCCCATTATTTGGCATTGTAATTTTTGGAATAATATTTTTTTGGAAAATGTGTGATTGTGGTTGAAAAATCAAGATTTTTTTTTATTTACGTGTAATATTATTTACGAAAGATTGTGTGATTGAAGAGAGAGAAAAATTATAATGTGAAATAATAGGGACCAAACAAATAGGTTGCAACCTGATGATAAAACGTTCATTTTTCTATTTTATTATTAGCACGATTTCAAATCCTCAGGCATAATTCTATTTTTTTTTTTTTTTGGAAAAATTGAAATTGTGCAATTAGTCCTAATATTCAGCGTTTCCTTCGTACAAACTTATAAACTAATATTTAAGTTTCATTTTCATTTCATCCATTTTTCATAATTATATTAATTTTCTCTTACATCAGATAGCACAATGGGTAAAGTTGATAAAATACTATGCTTAAATTAACCCAACTTGATACCTTTTTTGTTCTCTTCAATATTTTATTTGTATTTTAATCCAAAGTCGATTTCTTCTTTGTTTATTTAACAAAATATGTAGCTTTATTATTTTCTTCAAATGTCACTCTCTTTATCATCTACCTCCATGCAATGGATTGTCAACCATAATAAGCCCCAAATAAAATATTATGATTCCGCCACTAAATGTGATTATTAGAACTATCATTTAATATCACTGTATTATTGTCCTAAATAAGCTATATAGCATTACTTGGTGGAAATTGAAACAAGAGGTATTTTCAAAAATGTCTAATTTCATGGGTGTCAATTGAAAAATGTCTACTTTTTAAATTTAACATTAAATTGTCTATTATGCCCTTTATGAAAAAAAGAAGCAATTTATTTATTTTTTCAATTTGTTGCGAATTCAAGAAGTAGCTTTCATAAGAAGTTACATTAAAATGATGTTCTCGACATTTCAAATGTCATTGCCGATATTTGAATTCCGTTTATATTTTAAAAGTACACATATCAAATCACAATATTAAATATTTTCGACATTTTAAATCTCTAGAATGACATTTCATTTCGAACATGACAATTTTCTACACTTGAAATGTAATTCTCGACGTTTCTGTGTCAATGGAAAAAATAACATTAATTGTGATTTAACATGTGCACTTTTGAAATAAATATGACATGTTATGTGTCAAAAATTTATTGACCAATAAAATTTTTGTAAAAAAATCGATTTCTTGTCTTTGTATGGAATCATAAATTGTTTACATAGGTATTTTGGTTCAAAATATTCCAAATTGAACATTTTTACAAGACTCGTGAAAGTTGACATTTTTACAGATGAACACGTAAAATAGACATTTCAATCAATTTCCTCTTGAAACAATCCATATATATGAGTATTTATTGTGGGTCCCTTAATTTTTGAAAGGGTTGTTCAAAGAATGCCCCACAAAACATCCATAGCACAAGCTAGAAGCTAGTAGCTAATGTAGAGAAGAATATTAGCCCCCATTTAGGAGCCGACCCAAACAAAGCCTGCTTTCGAGCCGACTGAAAATATTCATACCTCTTAACAGATATCTCTGCAAAAGCTGTTCACAAGTCTCAGAACTCAGACACACTGTTTCCATAAACCCTAGACAGGATCTCTCTTTCTCTCTCTAATTCTCCATAATAAAACCCCTTCATCATCTTCCCACAATTCCCCCGAAGCCCTCTATTTTTCATTCACTTTGCTTTAAACTAGGCACTCTTCATTTCAACTTCAACTTCAACTTCAACTTCAACGGCTCTGTAGTCTATACTCTATACAGTAAGAGAAAAACTAAGTAGAAAAATGCCATCAGATCATATGAGTGAAAAGAAGACTACGAAGTCAAGCCAAGTGGGAGCTCCACCGCCGGAGCCAGAGCACCTCCCTTGCCCACGCTGTGACTCCACCAACACTAAGTTCTGCTACTACAACAACTACAACTTCTCGCAGCCCCGTCACTTCTGCAAGTCCTGCCGCCGCTACTGGACTCATGGTGGCACCCTCCGTGACGTTCCAGTTGGCGGTGGTAGCCGGAAGAATGCTAAACGTTCACGCACTGCCATTGTCCACACTAACAACACTGCTTCCAACGGCTCAGATTCCTTTTCCTCTGTTCATCATGACTTCCACCACTTGCCCGCCACCAGTTCTCAGCTTCTGATCCCCTTCGCGGCCGATCACTGCGGTGCCGTGCCGTATGCTGCTGATGTTAAGCCTATGTGTGGAAGTTTCACTTCATTGTTGAATCCCCAGGGCACTGGGCTTCTGGCATTAGGTGGCTTTGGGCTTGGAATTGGGTCTGGGCTCGAGGATGGGGCAGTTGGGCTTGGAAGAGTAGTCTGGCCCTTTCCCGGGGCCGTAGAAGGTGGGCTCACCAGCGGCAGTGTCGGTAACACGTGGCAGATTGAGAGTGGAGATAATGGATTTGTTAGTGGTGGGGATTGTTTTAACTTGCCAGATCTAGCTATTTCCACACCTGGGAATGGCATGAAATGAAAAAAAAAAAACAATATGTTGAGATTCTGTATCATGAATAGCATTTCTTTCCTTAAGTTATGACATGTAGTTGAGTTTTTACCTAATTTTAGCAAATGAATGGGATTTTTAGATTCTGTATTATGAATAGCATTTCTTTCCTTAATTTATGACGTGTACATGTTGAGTTGTTACCTAATTTTAGCAAATGAATGGGATTTTGATCCTACTATAATTTTGTGCGACAACAATAAAAAAAGACAAATAATAATGGACAACCCAATAGATAGAAAGTTATATGTTCCGTGGAAATCAATGAAGCCCAATTTTGTGCCGTCTTATATCCACCGTTGAATTATACTAAGAAACGCTAGCTCCAAGTGATGATATGATAGCAGCATTGCTTTTGTCACTATACTCCTATTTCTTCCCAGTACGCATCATATTTATTTGAGTAGGGGCCGGCCAAACCAGAATCACACATTAGGAATATATCCAATCCCAAAACGATTTTGTGAAAATTAATAGCCACCCTCGATTATGTCCCCCACACTATATTTAAGTCATTTAATTGAAGCTGAGAAATATGTAAATCGACAGATCGAGAGTAGAGAAGCAAGATCAAGAGAATGGAGAAGAGCGAAAAACAGAAGCATTTTGTGCTGGTTCATGGAGCATGCCATGGTGCATGGTGTTGGTACAAATTGGTGACTCTTCTTAGGTCTAAAGGCCACCGAGTCACTGTCCTTGACATGGCCGCTGCTGGTGTTCATCCTAAGCGTTTGGAGGAGCTCACCTCCTTCACCGACTACTGCAGCCCGTTGCTGGAATTTATGGCGGCTTTGGCACCGGACGAGAGGATGATTCTGGTTGGCCATAGCCTTGGTGGAATTTGCATATCTCTTGCCATGGAAAGGTTCCCTCGGAAAATTGAAGTTGCTGTTTTTGTTGCAGCCTTCATGCCTGGACCTGAGCTCGATATTCTTGCCACTAGTCAAGAGGTGAGGTCATGCAAAATTCATCGAATATTTGAGAAATTGGATAGAAACAAGTGGTTGATAAGTCAATAGTACTTGTGAGTTCTAGAAAATGTGTGAATTAAAAGTAATTCGATCGATTATAGATGGTTTATAAACGTTGGTTCAAACATGGCTGAATCTTAACGTAATAATTGTGCTATGTACAGTGTCAAAAACAATTGGATTCTTACATGGACAGCCAATTAACATTCGGAAATGGAGTGGACAAACATCCAACTTCCATCTTGTTGGGCCCCAATTGTTTATCCAGGAAGTTATATCAGCTGTCACCTCCCGAGGTGAGTATACCAACATGTACACGCAAATCTGGCATCAAATTTAGCTCCAAAATTGCGTCTCTTCTGTCTAATTTTTTGAATTCGATTTAACAGGATTTGGCTCTTGCGACCTTGTTGATGAGACCAGTAGCTTTCCACCATGGACCAGATTTTCTGAAAGAAATGGCTCTTTCGAAAGAAAACTATGGTTTGGTTCGACGTGTTTATTTGATTTGTGAAAGTGATAATATTTTAAAGCAAGGATTCCAGAGGTGGATGATTGAAAATAATCCAAGTGATGAGGTGAAGATGATTTCTGGTGCAGATCACATGGCTATGTTCTCAAAACCTGAAGAACTATGTTTCCGCCTGCAAGAGATAGCAGAAAATTACTGATTACCATTCCAATTTCTTCCCTTTTTGGTTGTCATGAATCATGAAACATAATTAATTTCCTTGACTTGTGTATGAAAGAAAACTGAAATAACATTAGACAATCTAAATAAGGTCTTGAACTCTGATTGAGCTCACGTTATTGTCTGAGTGGACGAATTGTTGATTTAATAATTAATAGTGATTTGATAAAAATTGTGACTCTCATTAAATGTGTTGGTAAAAATATGTTTGAGGAAAAATGAGTTCTAGAAAATGATGGCCAAACAAGGGCACGGAGTTTTCTCTTCAAAATAAGCCTCCTAACTCAATTAACTCGAAAAAATTAGTCTTCCTACAAATTTCAAGATCAAGATGTGAAGATAAAACGACAACAACAATATAGCAGTATTACTATTATAAGAAGACACAAAAAAAGCTTTGAAAAAAATATTAAGCAAACACTGGCACAGTTCATCAGGCTTTGAAAACATAGGAATATGGTATGAATCTTTGATCTCCTTCAGCTCTTTAACTGGGTGTTTCAATCATCCAGCGCTGGAATTCCGGTGATATTACTTTGTCTTCAGTTGCTACCATAGAAACTTGAGGGGTGCATCCGAGTTTCTCATCCGTAAAATTATCTGCCTGGAGCATATCTGTTTATAATGTGATTTGTGATGGATTTCATAATTTAGACAATATCAACATATTGAGTAGTATAAATAATTAAAATAGGAAACCAAGATTTAAAAAGAAAGATTGGCCTTTTAGAAAGTTGCGACAAAAATGTTGTCCTAAACTCTCACGGTCTCCTCTTTGTACAGGTATTAGGCATTCTACACCTCCAAGATAAAGCCCTTAAATCTCAAAAAGTCTGTTATCCTTCTATGTGCACGATTACAAAGAGAGATAGAACAAGCTTTCCTCTTGTTGCTCAAACAAAACTATAATAAATTCGCTTATGTTTTATGTTATCGGGTTTCCTGACATTGTTTTAATAGGTCGTCATTTGTTTTAGTACTACAAAAATATTTGAAATATTTTTTCCTTTGTTTAATATTTTTGTTCCATTAAATTTTATCATAACAAAGTTTTTACTGAAATAAGTATTGTGGTAATATTTTAAATTAAATATTAAATTACTATTGTATCCCTACGACTGTAATTGTTATGAGCATTGTACCCCTACAACTTTAACTCTTGCCGATAAATATAGAACTTTAGTTCTCAATGATTATTTACAAGTCTAATGACTTTCCCTATTCTTTTCTCTCTGATTTATGACAAAAAAATAAAAAAATTAAAAAACTACCTCACACATTACTTTGTATCGACAGTTGACTTGAACGTTAAAGTATCAACGATGGTGGGCACTTTTTTTTCCTTTTTTTTCTTTTTTTTTTGGGTTCGGTAAATTGGTGCTAACAGTTTTATCCAAGTGTGCATGTAACATACAAGTTGATAGACACATTGTTGGAGATTTGTTGAAAGCGGAATCTTAGAGAATTCTGAAAATTTTGACGTCAATGGTTTCTCCATTGGATTGCTGAGATCGAATCATGTACATCCATCAACTATGATCTTCTATTGTCATAACCAAGGCTGAGATTTACTGCATTGGTTGAGTTATTGTAACAAGAAAAGTGTTCAAATCCAAAGAAAAAAAATTTTACATAGAGTTTTTAGATTATCGATTTGTGCGTTATTTGTCATGTTGTCCAATGTATAACAATGTACTATTAACTTTCTTGGCCATGGAAGGTGATATCTCACTGTCACATAAATCGACAATCATTTGGATTCTAGATGTACAACTTCATTATAATACTAACTCCAAGTAAATTATTCTTTGTTGATTAATGATAAGAGATAGTCCTATCTTATCCATAAAAATATCATTCTAAAATTATGGTGAGTGCCTATCCACGAGAGATACTTGACAAATAAGATCTCTTTACAAATACCAAACAGGAATCATTTATGATACAAGTAGTGATCATAGATTTATTACCAATTGGGTTTTTTTTTCTAAACAAAGCCTGGATACATGGAATAGACTCGTAGTGGCTAGGACATCGCGCCCTCCTACATGGTACTGCCATCCAATGAGGAGTTGTCACCTCATCGGATAGTCTAGCCTCACCCAATAAGGTGAGGCCACCTCGAAACTTGAGGTGGTACGAGTGATACTTTTCTACTACTTCCTTCCGACAAATTGACAAAAGGCAGAGTTCATGAGTATTTGATAACATGACCATGTGACCAGTTCCCTGAATGGATTTAACTTCATTCGGAGGCCTCCTCTCAATCATGTACCTCTGGAAATCTTCCTCTACTGCCGTCTAGTTGCACCATGTTTTTCTTCAATTAACAAAGATTCTTGCTCAAGTCGTCAGTGAAAACTTAATTTGGTCTAATCAACATCTTGGCCAATTCCATATCCTGCTTGCAACACATAATGATTAAGAAATTGTAAACCTTTCAAATCAAACCCACATATCATAATGATTCACTTCCAATGTGACAAAAAAGAAGAATAAAAAGTTTTTTTTCTGGCACCTCTGCTGTGATATATAGAATGTGTATAAAACAGTGCTAATCACATTTAAACTGAACTGGAAAGGCTTTAAAGACAATCAAACTTTGGCTGCCATTTAATCTGGACTAAATATAGGTGAAATCGGCCTATTTTCCCTTCTTGGATCCAAGATAGACTTGGAATCCATCAGAGATTTTATCATATTCAATTTGATCAGTTCAAAACATATTGTATGCAATGAACAAACTGAGAAATATTCGACAGAGAGACGAAGAATGACAACACATAAATTACTCTTTCTGACTATACAAACCTCTTGAATAAGAGATGCTGGGGGACAGGGGCGAATCCAGGGTCTTAGTTCAGCTAAGGCGGACCGCGAACGTTGAACGTTAACTGTCAACAATCAGCATCTGTGATAGGCGAATCGTTTATTAATATTTAATTAAATAATATTCAAAAAATCGTACGGACTAAAACTAGATGCACCACTAGAACTGGAACTATAAACAAACTTTCATTTCGAATGAAAAAATAGTTCCATAATCTGCAAAATTGCCTTAATTTATTTTTCAATTAAACATGCAATATATATTAACAAAATGTCAATATTCAGTTTATAATTGAAGTTAATTAACAAGTATTATTAATTTATTATATTAACAAAGTTCAAATTATTTATAATCTTCCAAATCTAATGAACTAGCAACAACCTAACGCAAACTAGAACTACAAGGTAGGGATTTCATTTTGAATTATTTATCACAAATCACAATCATAACTCATAAAACATAAATCATAACTAGTAAAACACAAGTCATAGATTCATAGCTCAAAAATAAAAGATAAATCAAAAAATGAATTAAAAGGACAAAAAACAAAAACAAAACAAACAAACAAAAAAAAAAGTGAAAGAGAAGAGAGGGCTCACAAGTCACATGCGTGAGCGGCACTCAGGCGGACTCTGTGTGAGGCAAGAGTAGCCCATTCTTATTTCTTGAAAAAGATATTATTAAACAAAAAAGTAAGTTTACAAGTTTGCATAATTTGCATTAATCCAAGGGAGACACGTGGAAATCGAAAAAATGAGCCATTAGAACTTAGAAGTTTCTCACCAACACATAGGCGTCCTATTTCTAATGCCACCAATTGAGGTTTTGACCACCGAAATAAGTAATAACATCTGCGGCCAATAGCAGGGAGAAGGAGAGCAATTACAGAACGGTTTGCTACGATTATTGCCTCTGATTTGGAGGCGTGGTTGCAGTTATTTGTATATATCCATCAATCATTATCCATGGATTGGGTCTAATGTTTTTTTCAAACAAAGAGGCCCAACTCATCAGCCCAAAGAAAAAGGCCTAAACAAAAAAAAAGGGACCCAAATTCAAAATTTCATCTTCCTCCTCCGCTCCTACCTTCTTCAGTTCAGTCGCGGCTCTGCAACTTCCAATCTTCCACCCGGCAGCTAGTGAAGACTCCAGCAGATCCAGCTAGGGCGGTCGCCCAAGCTTGCCACTACCTGGATCCGCCATTGCGGGGGATCTTGACAATTTGGCATGTAGGCTGTGATAAAGGCTGCAACGGGGTACTTTTAAGTTTGACCCAGTCAAAGGACCTAAATTCCACTTTGACTTTCAAAATCATAAATATTATGAGATTGGCCTCTTGTATGGTAAAAGACAAAGATGCCCTTAAATGTTTTGTACAATTACAAAATAATATATTGTTGAAAGGACTATACTACCCTTTTAGTTAATAATTAAAAATCAAACACTTCCCCACTTATAAAAATTTCAAAACGAGCTTCCAACACAGAAAAAACTCTCATATTTTCATCTGTTTGAACCTCAAAATCTAGAAAAACTTTGAAACGTTGAAGTAGAATAGATTTTTCATGTCAATTACTTCAAATCGGTAAGTACATTTACGCATGTTTAATTTCGTTTTCAGTCAATTAGTATACGTTTGAATAGAGAAATTTTATGTCGACATAGTAGTTAGCATAATTTTTTTTAATAGATCTTACCTATCAAAAAAAATTGAACAGATGTATAATATTTTTCTTTAGAACCGTTTTCTCCTACGCAAAAACAGCCAAACAGTCGGCTGTTTTGGCTGTTAACAGCCAAACAGTCGGCTGTTTTGGCTGTTAACAGCCAAACAGTACGACTGTTTTCGACTGTCGGCTGTTAAACAGCCAATTAACACAGACTCTGCACTGATTTTTTCTTATAATTAATAAATGAAGTTGATTAAATCAATTTCCTCATGCAGATACGATAATCACCGTCTGTTATTTCGATGTTTCGAATTGAATGAAAATAATCGGTGGGAATGGAGATAGACGAGTGACATACGTAGTTGTATTGCAATTCCCATAGCAGAAAGTACACCATACTTAGAAATGTACCACGATTTGCAAAATAAGCTGAATGTCGATCAATCTCAATATGATATGCAATTGAGATATCTATTCAACAGTTATAGGGATTCATCCATTCCGATGCTACCAGTATTCGTTACTAATGATGCTGAATTGAATTATCTATTAGAATTGAATAAAATGCATCGGACTCCAACTGTTCTTGGTGTGACTTTAATTACGAAGGATGTTATCGAAGGTGAAC